GTTGAACAGCAGCGGGGCCAGGTTGCATCCCTGCCGGAGGCCTTGGCCCACGTCGAACCATTCCGAGTACTGCCCGTCGTCCGTTCGGACGCGCGCCCTCATGCCCTCGTGGAAGTGGCGAATGACCGCCAGGATCTTCGGGGGCACGCCGAAGCGTTGGAGCACGTCCACAGTAGGTCTCGGTCCACCTAATCGTATGCCTTGGTGAGGTCGACGAAGCACGCGAACACCGCAGTACTCTTCTTCCTCACATGTATCATAGAGAGAAGAACTGTTGTAACAACAGCTCGACAAACAATGTTTTGCGTGTGTTTTTTATTCATTCTAAGAGCATCCCCGACGGTTCCTGCGTTCGGGTACACCTCATCCTGCACAAGCCATGAATGATATGAGCTACACGAGAAAACGCGCGTTCCTACCGCATTTCGTTGCGCTGATTTCCTTTGGTCCTTCTCTCCTCGCGTTGCTCCACCACGACAGGACGCCGACCTTACGTTAGCGCCGCCGGGGTCGCCCCTTACGGTCCTTGGCAAGTTCAGCATCGCCGCCATGGGGAGCAAGGTGGCGGTGCAGACGGAGACCGTTCGAGTGGTTGGAGCGACCAGCTCTTTCTCCAATGGCACCTACCCGGAAGGAAGCGTGATACCCATCACAGTGAAGTTTTCCGTCGAGGTACGGACGGGCCGCTGTGTTGGTGTTGCTGCTCAACATCCCATCCATTGTCGTCGCTCTCAGTTCCTGTTTGCGCGGTCTGAGTCTTCCGGATGTTGGGGTTTTCGTTTCCTATACGGTTTGTCTTATTTCGAACCAGAACCTAATCATTGAGAAAAAAAGGCAATGTGCGTGGGGGCAACATTTCGCTGATCACAGAAGTCAAGGCAGCGGCCACGTTGAATTTTGATCTCATTGAAAATCGACACGATTCTTGGTGTTGCTGCACCCTGCCCTCCGACTGGTTGGTGCCGAAAACTGCGCGGCCTTTTTTCGGCTTCAACAACTGACTGTGGATCTTCTGGGCAATGTAAAGCCTGCACTCCCTCCCCTCGACTACCAACCCATCCATAAACTACAGGTGTACGTCATGTACGGGGTGCCGTCCCTGTTGCTCAACGTGCGTGACACCGCCGCAACCGACGACAATGAGACCACAATAGCTCCATCGGACGGCACCGGCATCGCCTACGCCAACTACACGGCGGGCAACGGAACATCAGAGCTCCTGTTCGCGTATACCGTGGAACGCGGCGACGCCACAGACCGCCTGGACTACTCTTCCCCCGCGGCCGACGCACTTTGGGCACCTTTCGGAGCCATCGTCGCCAAGGACACTACGCTCGGGTGGCCGGTTTACCTGCGGAGCTTGCCGGAGCCGGGCGCGGAGGACTCTCTTGGCTGGAACACGGACATTGTCATCAGTGACGAGGTTCTGCTGGTGGAGCGGGTGAGCTTTCCTTCGGCGTGTTGTTGGTCTCCATTCGCAAGCAGCTTCATGAGTCCGTATTTTCGTAACCGCATTACATGCGTTCTTCCCCCTGGCGTCCTTTGTGTTGTTTTCTTGTGTGCAGTATCCTTTTCGGTGTTGTCCAGCACCTAGGGATCGTACGTAGTTCGCTTCACGCCACGTTTCAGTTCTGTTGCCAGGCAGGGTGTTTCCGGTATGTCTCCGATTTTGTCTGCTCGTGTCCCGTGCCATAAGTACTGACGCCTTCGATCACTGGAGCAGGAGTCATGCGAGGTGGACATACATAATCCGAGTGCACATGTTGCAGCCCTTGCCGGTGTTGTGAAGGAAGCTTATACAGGAACAAGAAATCGAGGCTGAAAGGTGGAACGCGGTACTGTAGTGTTATGGGTGAGAGGGGGGGAGGTACTCTGAAGACATGTGAAGTCGGGGTAAGACGTCGTTGGCCAAGAGATATGCGCTGTCTCCGACGGTGGAGTTGTGACCTTGCTCACGTTGGTACGCTGCACCTACTAACCTAAACTACCCCCGTTCCTGTCTGCGAGCAGGTGTGGTCGACAACGCCCGAGGGCACCTATGGGGCGGGGGAAGAGATCGACCTGTACGTAGGGTTCCGCTTTCCGATACTGCTGGAGTCGGACACGGCTTTTTTGTCGGTCAATACCGTGGGCGGTGGTGAGACAAAGAGTGTGCGACAACGATGACGTCATAGTTTTTACGTGAGGAGATTGGCGGATGAGTGGGTGGCAGTACACGCAGTTTTTGTTCGCAGGACGTTAACAATGTTGCATGAAGTTGTTGCATGTGGTGTGGCTATTAATCTGTGAGCGAACACAGAGAAAAATAACGCAGACCATGAGGGTCATGTACAAAGACACATACATGTACATGTGCCCCGACATGGGTTGACGTACGGCAAGGGTGAAGGGGAAGCACACGTCGTAGTATACGACTCGCGTGCCGGGCCGGTTTTGCCGTGGTCCCCCTTTAAGGTTCATGATTCAATTGTCCAACTACCATTGCTCGTGGACTCAAAGACCATTAGGCGGGGTTGCGTACGCAGGGTCACAATATGGGCACCCACACGAATCCTAGAACAAATGCTCATCGACGACGTGCCTCGTCATGAGACGTCTCTTTGCCGGGACCTGTGACGGCCAATCGGCGAACCCTGTGACATTGCGCTCTTGAATTGAAGGAGCCAGAAAACAGCAAGGCCAAAGAAAAACGACCTCAATCGTAAACCTTCGCCTCGGTTTGGGATTGCCACTCGTAGGTCCTGGCCATCTGTGGACCAGGCTCAGCATGGAACTCCAGCACACTATTGTTCCGAGCTCAAGGAGTCCTTTCGTAATATTTCTCCTTTCGCTGTTTGTCCTCTGTGAGGAGGAGGATATCCGGTGGAGCTATCCAGGCTGGATGCCACCGAGAACGCTCTCGTGTTCACGTACGCGGTGCAGGAAGGGCACGAGACCGCGGCGCTGGAGGTGGCGTCGTCTTACGCTCTCAACGGGACAGTGCACCTGAATGCCACGTGAGATATTACGATTTCATGTGTCGAAGGTGTTCGTGCTTGCAGGGGCGAAACGTGCTGACAGTGTTGCGTACATTCACATTGCTGCTCAGATGCAACGTTCTTGCGCGATTGAACATGGAAGAGGACTTTCAAGGTGTTTGGAGACATCCCAAACGCCTGAAACCATACAATCTTTGTGACCACGCTTAGCATGCTGCAGTTAACGGCAACCACCCCGTGCGCGCGCTCAATACCACGTGGTGATTGAGATGACAATCGCTGAGAGGTGTGCTTCTCTTTGATACTGAGTGAGGCAAGGGGTTAATCAATCCCTTTTGCGAAACGCCAATAGGGTGTTGACGGTAACAGGACGACAATGCTTGCAACGGCGAGGTTGCAAAAACACCAGTGAGCCGAACAGAGTTATGGGGTTCGCGCGTATCGTCCGGGAAATAGCACCCGCTCTAGACGAAACACTGCAGGGTTCCATGACGTGGTTAACAACGAGAGACGGGGTTGAGAGCGACAGAACGAAAATTCCTGGTTGCCCAGAGGCAAGAGGGGAGCAGACTTCTCGCAGTGGATGACAGACAGTGGACCGCACTGAACAGTAGAAAGTTCACCCATCACTAGTAAGACGACTCGACCTTGGCCTGCGAAGAATACCTCCTCCCCAACAACCAACAAGCCACTCCAATACAACACGAAAAACCACAATAGGTACGCGACGTCATCGATCAACATCACCCTCCCGGAGGCCGGGGAGCCGGAGAGCCTGAGCTACGACCGGACCATCGAGATCGACACAACCGCGCCCGCCGTCCTGAATGCCACGAGCACCCAGCCCAACGGGACGTATGCAACGAGCGCCGTCATCGGCGTAACCGTCCGTTTCAGCTCCCCCGTTGTGGTCGTGAACGGCGGGGATTACCCGGCCAACTGTACTGCCGGCGGTAGCGGTGATGGTAGTAGCAGCAGTGATGGCGATGCCGCGTGGTGTGAAGGGCTTCCGGTGCTCCAGCTCGACGCGAGCGGGGAGCACGGGGACAAGAACGCGACGTACGCCGGCGGGAACGGGACCGCCGACCTCTTGTTCGAGTACGAGGCACGTGTGCAATGAAGTTTGCAGATACACGAACAAGGACGACGGTTGATATGTGTCGGTTTGATTGCCTGTTTCCCTACCGGCCTGCCAGGCTCGAGTAGAAAAACAAATACGGCGAGAAAAATAATGTACCAACTCCTGTTTGTTCGTAGGCATCAAAACATTTTCGTCCCTTGCGTCCAAAGTATTGTTGCAGCAGTCCACATACTACAGGAGAAGTTTGCTTGTCTGTGTGCTAAATAACTGCCGGTGCCAACTCCACCGAAGCACATGCACACCTCCATAGCGACCCTTTCCCCCTCCGTTTCTTGACCCACAACAACAATCGATCGCATCGGCGAACACCCTCAATCCGGACGCCTGCAACCCGCGCTTCGCGACTTTGCCCATTTACCAACGGCAACGATAAAAAACGTACGCCACAGGTGGCGGAGGGAGATGGATCGAGCCGACTCGACTACGCATCCACTGCCGCCCTGTCTGCAGGGATTGGGGACATCCTTCGCGCGAGTGCTAACCCTTCCACCCCGGCTGACATCTCGCTGCCGGCGAAGGGCACAGCGGGAAGCCTGGGCTGGTCGTCAGAGATCATCGTGGACTCGTCCACGGGGTACATCTTGGATGTACGTTGTTGGCGGTTGTTCGACGAGTTTTGGGTTGGACGCGGGGTGGTTGAAGTTGTGGGTGGTGGTGATGGTGGTGAAATGGTGTGGTAAGCTTGATACACGAACCAGATATTGTACACATCGTGATGGATCCCCATGCCGGTGAGCACTTGGAACGCAGCCGCCAACGACATGTACGTTTCCATTTTTGAAGCGCTTTGGGCGAGCGCACGTCGCAAGTATCAGCAAGGTCGCACCAGCGCCCTAATGTGATCCGTCGAAGGGGACGTATTGTACAGGTTGATCTCGGTGATCGTTAGAGTTGTCGACAGGGTATTCAAAATGTCTTGTGGCTGGTACCAGAATGGACGAGGTCGTTCACATCTCCAACAAGGACAACAATCCTTCCACCCAATATTACGCCTAGAATGACAATATAGATCCAGAATTCCACCTCGAATTTTGCGAAACTGCCTCTTTCTTCCAACCCTACAGGTAAACTCGACCAAACCGGACGGTGTGTACGGCATAGGGGAGCAAATCTACATCGACGTCTATCTTTCGACAGCTGTGGTGAGTGTGAGCGTACGTGAACGAGCGAGCGAGAGACGGCTCCTGGCATTGAAAGCCTTGCGTACGGTATCACTTGCAAGAGGAAAATGTTAAGATTGAGGCAGTTCCTCAAAGGTTGGATGTGCGGTGGAGAACAGAAAAATGCCATACTTCGCATAAAACGACACAGATGCCACTTGGTAAATACTGTTCCAGACAGGCACAAAGTACACCAACCAAGAACAAACTTCTGAGGTGTATCGCCATGAATTGTGTGCATCGCTCTCTCTTGGGTTGTTGCTACGCAGACCGTCACAGGCACGGTGTTTTTGGAGCTGAACGCAGGCCCCGAAGTGGTGGGAGTGTACGTTTCCGGCGGTAGCAGCGACGACGGCGTGTTGACGTTCCTGTACACCGTCTCCGAGGGGGATGCCACGCCCGACCTAGACACCGACGGGCAAAATTCTGTGGTGGTTCCCGAAGGCTCGAGCATCCGGGTAAGAGGGAAACACCAGAGAGAGGGCCGACCGCCGCCTCAAATATGACTTTGTTTTTTCCATGCGTCTTCTCCCCGGTTGTCCGGGATCACAGCATTTGGGGTAGCTTGTAAGATTCCCTTTGACACTTCTGTCGCTGGATTTAACCCGAGACAGAGACGACGCATATTTGACGAACAGAAGCACACCACGGTCGAACGTACACTTTGTTCCAATAGACAGGAAGACGGACAAGGAGACCAGACGCAGTTGCAACTGTTGTGCTTCCAATATACGCCCCACGGCTGCCACAACTTCTGGCGCAGAAACGTTTCATGTTGGAGGCGTTTACCACGTGGTCATGCCTCCCGGCTGTTGCTATCGATTCTTAGAAGTGATTTTGTGCCAGGTGGTACGGACAAGTCTGTTTCCGCCAACAACAACATGAACAAAAACGCTACCTTGTACGACATAAATTCAAACTGCTGTGCGGCACTAAGCGGTCAAAAAATGCACGCCGATTTGATCACCTCAAGAATACGAACTTCCCCGACCTCACTCTTACCTTTATCTTTGTTCGATCGAATCACGTTTCCCTTCTATGGGTTACCGACCGCCCAGAGCGGTGACGAAGCGCGGACGCCAATGGTGCTTGTTCTGGACACCGAAACCAGCGGTCAGGGATGGTTGGGGATGAACAAAGACCTGACGATCAACACCCTTCCTCCGTACGTGCTCGACGTCGCGTCCAGCAAACGAAATGGTAAATGTTCGTCCTGATTGAAAAAATGTAGCACTTCAGTCGCACGCACATCCCGAGGAGCAATTGGGAAGGGAAATTGATGAGCACAGGGTACCCAACCCGTATCAGTTTTACAAGAACAAACGCTTGTGATGCCGCCCGTGCTTCCTATCTCTCCAACTGCCTTCCAAACAAGAATCATTATCGTCTCTCCTTCATTCGGATGCTATTTCAAGTTTTAAATTTGACAAACATTTTCGTGCTGTACAGATGACCTCGTGTTAATGCTCCATTGGTGAGCTGGCATTGAAATCAAAAACCTTGCTCGCCTATCTATACGGTCTACGCTGTCCTGCAAATTTTCGCCAACACTGAGAACCCAAACATCACCGGCCGCTATGCAAAACCTTTTCAGAGGAGTACGGTGCGGGAGAGGAGATCGAGATCACGGTGACCTTCGACTACCCGGTCGTGGTTGTAGCCGGCGCGGTTTTGCTGATCGACACGGGCGGAACGACGACCTCGGCCGAGGCCATCTTTTCGTCCGGCAACGGCAGCGCCGCGGTCACCTTCCTCTACACCGTGTCGCAGGGAGACGAGTCGGTGGACCTCGGGACTTTCGAGGGTGGCGACGCCGGACAGGGCGGCGGCCTGGTCGGAACCGTTCTTCGCGACTCGGACAACCCTTCTCAGGTGCCACGGTATATAGCGCGCATGTGCAAGGTTCAACTGGTGACACTGTTAGTTTCTATTCCCGCACATGTGCGAACGGGTGAGGCTGATCCGCAGCGGTTGTACTCAGCTCTTTCTTTTCGTTCGCAACGATATGAAACGTTTCCATCGAAATTGGCGTTCGCATGTTGTTGGATTCGCGCACGTTGGCGGTTTTGAGAGCTAGACTGCAAAGTAGCACTTTTGTTACTCGTGTGCCTACCAAGCCTGTTCGCAACATCGTCTGCACATCAAAACAATGAACATCACATCAGGAGGCCAATACGACGCTGCCAGTGTCCGGCGAGGACGGTAGCCTGACGGTGAACAACGACATCGTCATCGACACCACTGCGCCCTACGTAATCGCCGTGCTTTCCTTGAGGGAAGGCGTGTACACCGTGGGCCAGGTCGTCGACCTGCAGGTACCATAAGTTTAGGAGAACCTGCTCTACGTCGAGCACGCATGTTGTTTCAATCCAAAGGGTCGGGAACAGGAGCTGCAGCAGCGCCGCATGCGCGTTCTATCCAGGGGCGCTCGACGCGTACGGGGTAGTACGGCCGGTCATCTCACAAAAAAGCATCAACACGGAATGTGCGGAAGAACATGTCTCGTGGAACATATTGTATTGCTTCATTTTCAAGCAACCCTCTCCATTCTGTGACTCCGTCGACACCCCCGATGTTGTCTTCGCGGGGGTTAATGTTGGCATGTTTTTGTTTGCCGCGTGTTTTCCAGGTGATCTACAACAAGCCTGTGAACGTGAGCGGCACGCCCCGCGTATCCTTCGTCCTCGACTCGTCCAACAGCACCACATCGTCATCGGACTCTCTCGTTTACGCCTACGCCTACTACGACGCCTCGTTCGACATCGGCAGGTGTTGAAAAAAACGATTTGGAACGCTGCAAGGGCAATAGGGGCGCCCGACTGGCTGTAGTTGCTGCGGCATTGTAAACCTGCGTCACCGACAACACCTGAAACAGGTAGCGCTTTGCTTGCAAGGCAATCTCCACGGTGCAGTTGTTCGGTCGCGACCATGGTTTTTGCGCCCTTTGTTCACGGTAGTGCGTCGTTAAGTTGGCGTCACGTTACGGGGTATACCTGTGGGTTTCCTTTCTGAAAGGGACAGATGTATGGCAATTGAGCACCGGGCCCCGCTGTTCATTTCCGTGGTACGAATAAAGCTAGTTCTGCCGGGTCACGGGCCACGCTAAGAAATCAAAATGACCAAGAAAATTCATTTCACAGTTCCATGGTACCAACACCAGAACCTGGAGGGTTTAGGCGTTAATCGCTCCTCTTACCCTTTCGGAGGAAACATGACGCTCTCCGCTCAGGCGTTGTGAAGGGATGCGAGACGCATTGCTTTATGATCACATAGGAATAGACCCACCCACCCACCCCCTCGCGCGCGGGCTTAACCCCACCGTTCATGCAGCTTCGCAGACGAGCACAGAGCCCTGTCCTTCGTATACACGGTTAGAGACGGCGATGAGATGTCGCACTTCAAGCATACAGGATCGGATGCACTGGAGCTGTACGGCAACGCTACCATCAAGCGAGCCTCCACGACCCCCACCACGGACGCGCTCATCAACCTGCCGGCTTCAGAAGGGGGTGCGTGTGTGCAGACCTGAGATTTTTCTGACATAACGATGTGTGGTTGCCCCCTGCTTCAGAAACGGGTCTGTGTGCGCACACCTGGAACCACACGAAAATTCGGTCCCTTCTTTTGTGACATAAGTGATTCTTTATTGGCTGAGGTCAAAGAGCCGACATTGTCCTCCCCTACCGTGTGCAACGGCATCCGAAGGCTGTGTTGTATGCAGGTATCAGAAAGTCGCTTGTCCCACCCTCAAAAACTTCACTAGCTACGAATATCGGACCATCGTTCGTTGTATGCAGGCTTTCAAATCAAGTTGATTTGTTGACGGGGTGGGTTTTTGGGTGTCCGAACGACATAACCGACCCACGGAAGCAAAAGAAGCAGGACGGCGCTCATCTGTCAGACGTCTTGCCCAAGTTTTTTCGCTGACACAGAACGCCAAACTACTGTCTACGCGTGTGGGGTTTTTCTTGGATATGGTTGCGTTGCTCCATACGCAACAATAACTTGACCTCACGCGCGTCATTCAGGTCTTCTCATTGAACAGGTCGATAGCTGTTCCAAATCAGATGCGCCGCTCTTTGAACAGTTGTTTCAGCTTACAGAACGACCCGGTAGACAAAACAATGTATAGTCATATTGTTCTTGTAGTTTTGTTTGTGATCTTTTCCACCTAGACTTGTGCTCGATTCTCCTCCCACCCCAACAACCCCCCCCAGCCCCCCCCGGTGTTTGCCATCGGGATCGGGTTTTCGTCGCCTGGCAACGACGTTGTAAAACAAGCCAATTCACTTCGTGAACTCCGCAACCAGGTTACCGTTTGTTTTTTTTTTACCTCCGTTTTTTTTTTTGCGGTAACCATAATGGTGGTCGAAAAGATCATGTTGTGCGGGGTCGAGAAACCTCACTCCGCGCAAGGGGGATGATCGCACCACGTTGTGTTAAAATGGTCACGCACCCTCGAGGCAGTTACACAGTGATTACAACTGTCTCAGGAAGTGAAAGCACCAGAAAATAAATTAAGTCATACGCAGCTGTCATCCGTACGCAAGAAAGTAAGCACAAGATGCCGAACACCCTTAGCAGGATGCAGCGCACCCTTCATGCGACTCGCCGAATATCTCACGGCGCTTCGCGCTTGGTGATGTGAGAGCCTGGTACGGTGAGAACCCGGCGTGCTCCGTCCCGGCTTTGTAGGGATGCGAGGTCAATGGTCTAACGACTACGGCATG